GCCCTCTTCCGGTTGATGGAGGGCAACAACTTGCCAGCTTGGTGTCACCTCCTCGGTGACATCGGTTATCCGTCCAGACGTTGGTTGCTTACTTTCCTACGCCCAACAACCAGGCTGTCAGATTAAATACAATCGGTAAGAACTAACCCTAACATGTTGGAGTGATCTCCCTTGTTACTTTATAAAAAGTTGTATTCAGAATTTGGATCACACATAATACGGAAAACAATACCAAATTAAAGCTTTCCGTTATATGCAAGTATGTATTCACCAGCTGATCATAATTATTATCACAATCATTTGAATAATAATATAACTTCTATGATATAATTATTTATTTTGATGTAAGAATATTAAATATGCACTGATACAAATCAGATTAAGTAACCCTAAAATAATTGTTCTTTCATCTGTTCTCATTTCAACATTTTTTTAGTTTTTGCAATGATAATGACAAAATAAATATCTGCAGTAAAATTGAATACAAATAAAAGTAAAGTTACAATCCCCCATCATTATGTATTATTATTATTTAAAAAAACAAAAACAAACCCAAACAAACTAATGTGCACCAAAAGTATTTTGATATATTTTATTAGTTTAAGACAAAATTATTTTCAGAGCACACAAGATCACAAGAAGAAGTTGTGTTGAGCGGGGATTTGGCCAACTAAAGCGCAGATTGGGGGTCATTCATAGTGAGATCAGATAATCCCCAGAGAGCACTTGCAAGGTAAAATTGAAAAACTAAATGAAAGGGTTACAAATATGCTTTTGAAAAATTACTCAACTCAGTAATATGTTGTAACTTGCTGTACCAAAATTTTCCATGTTCATTGAAATTTTTTGTACAGCGTGTTATTTCATGTGTTTCATATCATAATGACCTGTGCTGTTCTCCATAAAATGTGCAAGGAGCTGAACATACCAATTCCATCAGATGATGGCAACCTACAGCAACAACAACGGCACGCAGCCCCAGTACCACCAGTCCTGCTACCACACGGTTTGATGGCAGTGCGTTACAGGAAGAAGTTTGCAAGGACTCATTTTCCATGTAAGTCTGACTATATTTGGTTGATTCACTGAAGTGATTATCAACGTATTTTCATCATTTACTAGGACAGATACAAATGATTACTTTGTCAAATCAGCCCAATTCTAATTTCTTCAACACAAGATAAATAACAGAACAACTGATACATCCTGAAGAATATTTATTATAACAATATAGTAATTATAATGTTGAATAGCATTACAAAGGACAGGTTCTAAATAACCAACAAATTAACAGAAGAAACATCAGCACTGTTCACACACTACAGCAAAGTCTATAAATCAATGCTTACAGCTATGTAAACATAAATATAATTTAACTCTCTTAAACATCAGACTATCAAAATCTCTAACGAGATTATGCAACTTAATTATAAATTAATAGTAGTACCTTAGATGCGGAAAACATTCATAAGTTATGACTATGGGATCATATGAAAAATTCTTTCAAAGGGTGAATAAATATCATCCATTGAAAAAACTCTATGGATACTTGCTTCTTTTGCAATATGTCTTTGAATTCATCTGAAAGATTGATTGTCGGTGGTTCTTTTGCATTAAAAACGAAATACATTTTCTACAGTTAAGTTTGACATGTTTTAATTTTTCTGTAAATTTCCTGTCACATGGCATCAAGTGTTAATTGAGACAGATTGAGTTCCAGCACTTTAGAGTTAGGCTAATTTTTTCCATGTTTAAACATCAAATTATTTGATTTTTTTTTTTTAAGACTCAAAGTATACACACGAAATTCAATATGTACATTCTGTAACTATCACTACGATAACAATAGATAAATCTTTAAAATATTTGAAACATTTGACATAAAAAAGACTCACGTTCACAACTTAGTTTAACCATTTGTCTATGTTGTATTTAAACATACACAAAGAACTTAGGCTCCCCCAACCCTATATTTGAATTTTTTCTACATAATGTTATCTGGCTTAGGAAAATAAGAAAACAACTGAGATAATGATTCCTTTAATGGTTAGATTTAAAGTCACATCGGCAATATCCTCAAATGGAATATTTGCATATACTGTCTTTCAAAACTAATTTTGCTGCACTGGTTACAAGTTGCATTTTACTCAAAAATGAAAGTGATGATCAATGGCCAATATCCATTGAAATTCTTTCTTACAAGTGGGCAGATAACATGTTTGTCAAGTCAGTTTTGACAATATTGAATAAAAACATTAAGAGTTAAGTTTCAAAAATGGGAAAAATTCAGATGCATTAAAATTTGTTTTGAAAACAGTCAAGTCAGGAATATGCCATAATTTCCTGGTGAGAACATGTGTTTACCCAACAATTCAAGTCAAAGAAAAGTTTCTTTTCCCATATTCTGTTATTTTTTTAGTTCTTGTTAATCTGCCAACATTTGCTCTGAAAATTGAGCAAGTGACATCCACCTTTGATAGATACACATAAATAGAAGGACCAAATTTACTTATGTCAATAAACAGTACTACTCCTGCATTTTTAAATAAACATAAAAAGACACAAAATTCTATTTTATAGCAATATAAAACACACATACAAACAAATCATAACTTTAATACATGGTGCTTAATTAAGAATTTTGTGTATATTTTCAACTAGTAATACAGAAATATACTGATATTGACAAGTTGATACAGCTTAGGGCTGGGACGGGTACTCGAATCCCCGTCGGGTACAGCTGGAATCGAGTCCTATTTCAAGGAATCGAGTACCCGGAAAGGGAGAGAACTCTGTAATGACAAGGGCAGGTAACTCTAATCTAGAGCCATGTGGACGATACGCATGCTAAGTTGAGTGTTGGGCACATTTTGAGCTTGATGCAAATGACAAGAGAACCAAATGCCGACTCTGTGGTACAATGCCAATCCACTGCGGAAGCAGTACAAGTTAAATGCACAAACATCTTGCACTAAAACACAACCTAAAAAATAAACGTGTTCATTACATTGTGTAACTGTGTTCATTGCTTATCAAGTTTTTATTAAAAGCTTTTAAGATTACATTGAAATTTTGTCTTTAGTTTCTATTTTATTTCAATTTCAGGCAACACAGCTTGTACATTTACGTTTAACATGAATACATTGACTATTAAAGAGATTGCAATTAAGTGATTGTATGAGTTGGCAATATCACATAAAACTAATGAATTAACATATTAAAACGAACGTATACTCGTATTGAAAGAGCACATTCTGATTTGCAAATACAATGTTCGACTGGTTATCAATACAATAAGAAGAAAGATGATCAGAAATAGAAGCACAACTCACGTAACTCACATATAATACCATTGCAGTTACTGTACATTGTATAGTTTAACAAATAATAACAAGCATACAGTTATCCCAATGAAGATACACAATGTTCGAGATACAATATTAGAACATTGATTTAATAATAGTTGTTGTTTTTTATTTAAACGTGATAATATAGCATTTAGATACATTTCTTTATCCCTACATTCAAACAAAAGCATCTCAATGCGACATTTATCTTCTAGAAGGATAAAAATTAAATCACTATAAAAATTTCATATACGGCCAATGAGTTATTCACGGCTCTGTATTAGTCTGTACTCTGTAATGTATGATAGACAAACTGTCATGCAACTGAGTTCCGCAACAGAGCAAAATGACCAGTCTTCTCAGATACGAGCCAAGCATTTTGCTATATTGCTTAACTCAGTTGCATTAAGGTTTGCCTGTCTGTATATCTCGTATAAAATTCTCCAGTCAGTAAATACATCAATCCAATTTTATTCTATGCAAGTTTACATAAAGTCTGCATGTAACACTTTATAGGTTCAGTTAGAATATCACACATGAACGTAGTTGTCTACTAGCGGAATGAATAACTGGTCTTTTTCATTATTAACGTAACACACATTTTTTGTATTGTCCGAGTGATGGAGGTTATTATTATCGACGGTAATTTGTCTGCGCATGAGCAGTGAGTAGTCAAGTCACAGTAACAGCGGGAATGAAAAGTTCTGTGTTTTAACAAATGTTCTGTGTTTTAAGAAATGTTCTGTGTTTTAAGTAGCAATGTAAGTAATGGTGTTACTCTGTATATTAGTTATAAACAGACGTAAGCAAATAGCCTCAGATCAGTTTCAATGTCTCATTGCATCCTCTCAGGTTTTCTATAATAATATCTGTCAAATCGTGATTGAATATTCAAAAGCTATGTATTCCTAACATTTCCGGGTACTTGATTCCGATTCGGGTAAATACATCCGGGTACTCGATTCCATTTGTTCCTACCCATCCCAGCCCTAATACAGCTATTCTTCTAATTTCCTTATTTTTGATTGAAGATAAGTTTTCTGTAATTTCACTTCAATCTCATGCAAAAACTTCTCTCTTCCTAGGACTACTGAGGAAGTTGCTGATGTGGACGCTGATGCTGATGGTAATGCCGATGATGATGACTGTCCAATCTGCGATTTAGGATAAGGACATCTCACTCCCTCTTGAACTAGATATAAACAGTGCCATGACGTCACGTTTCTTCTGTGACGATGCGTTCTACATGCGGTGACGGCGGGTAGCCAGCCTATGTTTGAAAGTAGATTTGGTTTATTTTCCTCAATTTGACGACTTCAGTAATCAACAGAATATTATATTCATGCCTATATCATACTATGTTTACCACACTCGTGCCTAAATGTCGGTATATCCCTCGGGAAATACCAACATTTAGGCACTCGTGTCGTAAACATAGTATGACATGGGCACTCATATAATATCCTCTATTTACTTATAAATTGCTGTTTTCTGTTTTCTTTTATTATTTCATCTCTTCACAGATTTCCAGACAAATAGAGAAGCAAGGTTTTATCTAATTTCAACTTTAATTTTAGGAATTCACATGGTCACGGGAACTCATAAAATAGTTTCAATATGTTATTACCTACTTTTCAAAGGATTGATCTAGCTCTAGGAGCTGTATGAATCCATGGACATCGGCCCAATTCCTGACAGCACTGAATTCTCCCGGCCTATACAGTCCACCACGGCTTCTGTAACTGGGTTTATTGGCGTTGGGAGAGGTCCGCCGCCTGAAAATATAATCGGATATTAATTATTGTAATTATTAAAATTTGTTGTTTTTTTCCACTAAGTCCTTATACAATCTAAACATACGGCAAAGTTCACACTAAACATATTACACAATTCACCCACTGTCACCTGCTCATGTGATATATTGAAGATTACTAGTTTTCGTGACAAATATCATTTTTACCTCATCAATCAAGATAGAAATTTGATATTTTCGTGATTTTGCAATGTAGACTCGTCAGTTTGATATTTTACATTTTAAAGTTTTCTCCTGGAATAAGTTTCAAAAATTTATATGACAAAGTAAATTGAATAGATTGGGTTTCAAGACACTTTTAGCAATATTCCAGCAACATCATGGTGAGATATCTTATGAAATAGATGAAATGGACATCAACAGTCAATGAACAATATGTATGAGACATCTGAAATGAAGGCATACTTGGATATTGACATGTACATGAAACTGATAAATAAATAGTGAGTAAAATTGTTAGGGTCAGTAGGAAAATTTTGGGTCGGTTGGGAAACCGGAACCCCAAGATTTTTTTTAGGCCTTATCTCCGATATGTTACCCTTCACAGGAAATAAATTCCCAAATTCAATGGTTGTAGTTGTTGCATTCTTGAAAGTGTTGTAGTTAAATTTTTTTGCCCGCACTCTTAAGGTTTTTCTATTTCTTGATAATCTCATCTCTGCTTCGTTGTTGCTGTCCATTTGAATTGATGGTGTCTGTGATTTTCTTAAACATAAAGTTGTTAATATATGGATTAATATTACCTCCTTGATTTGAAAATAACAAATTTTTGTTTGGCATTCTTTAGTTGAAGGAGGGAAAATTAAAACTTTTTGAAATTGATGAAAAAGTAATTTTTCTGTGTGCTCAAGTCGGAGGGAACAAAGGTAAAAAGGTTGCCATTAAGGCAAAGTAATTGTGTACCATTACTCTTGAAAATGTGTATTATAAATTGAAGCAAAGCCCTTTATTGGATTCCAAAACAGAATGTATAGAATATTTCTGTAAATAAACAATCATAACAAACAAACATAAAAGGAGGGAATTATTTTTGTTTCTTTTCAAAGTTTTCCGTGAACTTCTACCAGTACCGGTGTTATGAACATCTGCCATTTTGTTGGTAAGACTTCCGTCCGTTAATATTTACCGACACAATTTGAGGAATGGTTGACAGTTAAATGTTCAAATCACAAATCCTTGATGCCTCTGTACGCTGCCCACTCATCCGACATTATGGTACTACCGGGTAATACATGACTGACTGACTGAGTTTGGTTTTACGCCGCTTTTAGCAATATTCCAGCAATATCACGGCGGGGGACACCAGAAATGGGCTTCACTCATTGTACCCATGTGGGGATTCGAACCCGGGTCTTCGGCGTGACGAGCCAACGCTTTAACCACTAGACTACCCCACCGCCCCGGTAATACATGATGTTGTATGACAGGTAGCAGTGTACCAGCGTCACTTTTTTTTAACAGGCACAAGAAAAGTATGTGTTTCTCGGCAGATACCACCGAACACCCAAATTCCGTCCACTAATCGGCCCCGATTGTAATTCCTTATTACCAAATTTGGCCTCGTCAATTTCAACAGTCGTGCCCTGGCCCCCTGTTTTGGTACCTCCCCCAAGGTCGATATCTTCTACACAAACCTCGCGGATGTACTTAAAGTCATCGCAGATTGTTCCTGTTGATGTTATCTCACTACCTCGTGGGGAATGGAAGTTCCAGTTGCAGTTAGTTCATAAGATATTTTTTGGGCAAAGCGATTACATGGAAGGAGTGCTTTCCTCAAGGAAATGCTGCTTCCATCGAACCACGTTCCCTTTTGAGAGGAATCACGGTCAAGCATGTCCTGCTTGACTGTGTTGAATATTACATTACAAGGAAAATCTATTTCAAATCACGAACCATGAAGGATCTTTTTAATAATGTCAGTTCTCATTTAATTATTGCATTTTTAAAAGAATTAGATTTGTTAAATGATTTGTAAATAGATAAATGGCATTTTAAAGATGGTAGTATAAATTAGAACCACGGTCAAGCATGTCCTGCTTGACTGTGTTGAATTCTCCATCATAAGGGTTAAGTATTTCAATGTAAAAACAATGAAGGATCTTTTTACAAATGTTAATTATCATTTAATTATTGTTTTTTTTAAAGAAATTGATTTGTTTGATGAATTCTGATTAATGTATTTTGTAAATAGACATATTGGTAATTTACATTAGTAACTTAGATTGTTAGTGGCTGTATCCTCTAAGGGGGTTAAAGTATCGTAAAATGATTGTCCTCCTGAGAGGGTACGTAAGTCCCAAAACATTCAAAGTTAAATTTTTGCTTACCCGATTTTTGAACGTAGTATATTTGTTCCTTTAAAATTTGGCTAAACTTTTCTACAATCGCCAGCGGCTGATGGGATGGTGTAAATCCAACTAGGGCCCATGCAGGTAGCAAAGGTACTGTAAGTCCCCATGGTCCCTAGTATGGTGATGTACCTTCAGTTGTTGGCGATCTATAGCCTGTTTTTATCTTATACTGTCATAATAGTGCTATTAGTTTTAACTTTCCACACTAGTTTTAATTCTAATTGTGATATTCTAGTTGTTTTACTGTCCTTTGTCGACAGGTTTTTATAACCTACATATATTCCATTTCAATGTCAAATCTGTTCTCGTCAGGATATGGCTAAAATATTGCCGATGTGACGATAAATATTAACTCACTCACTCACCTTTCTGAGAGGAACAGTGTTTTTATTGGACTGTTTACATTTTTTTATTCCACTGAAATCGAAATTGTGGGAATCGATGAATTTACTGAGGTCTGCCTTGCAAATCTGCACCTGCTTTTCTTGGCTAGTAAAGAGTAATCCTGAAAGAAATTTCTGGCGTATTCCTCAGTGGAACTGTTAGTACACAGAGTAAAGAAATTCAATCCGACAGTTTTCTTCGTACTGGGTCCAGGTGTCTGGATAAATGGCACTGTCGTTAGTGTCGAGGTGGAGGAATAACGAGGCATTATGATTCACATACTCAATATTTTCCGGTAATTCACTATCAGAATTAGAATCAGGGGTGATGACGAGGAGGAACTGTGATCTGGACCTTCACTTTAACTTTGTTAGGTTCTATATAACAATCGGAGGCGGTGAGGTAGCCTACTGGTTAAATCGCTGGCTCGTCACGCCGAAGACCGGGGTTCGAATCCCCACATGGGTACAATGTGTGAAGCCCATTTCTGGTGTCCCCCCGCCGTGATGTAGCTTGAATATTGGTAAAAGCGGCGTAAAACCAAACTCAGTCGGTCAGTATTTTAGACATAGCTTATGACATGACAAACAAAACACTCTCATTCAACCTTTAATCTCGTTAAAATCGTGCACAACTTTATAATGCATGAAATGTACCAGCAACAGGGTCCATGAAGGACACGCACGAAGTTTTCCAATATACACACTCAGACCAATCAAGACCCATTCATGCTCATACTGTTGATCATTGGATCGTCTGGTCCAGACTGGATCATTTACAGACCACCGCCATATAGCTGGAATATTGCGGAGTAAAACTCACTCGGGTTTTAGACTTAAGACAATCAGAATAAACCCTTATTGTGTCAAAAAAATATCTAGAGATATTTTTGTTTCAAAATCATAATCATTAAACTTGATACTCATCAGCTGTAGTACATGTATGATTATTGTGTGTCATGTTAATGTAAGCATGTATATGACGTATGTGTATAAGACTGACTGACTGAGTTTGGTTTTACGCCGCTTTTACCAATATTCCAGCAATGTCACGGCGGGGGACACCAGAAATGGGCTTCACTCATTGTACCCATCTGGGGATTCGAACCCGGGTCTTCGGCGTGACGAGCCAACGCTTTAACCACTAGACTACTCCACCGCCCCATGTGTATAAGAACCAAGTTGGATATCCAACCATATCGTTGGCTTTTGATTCAAGATGACTTGACTGGGTGTACCACAATTCACCTGAATGTTATCTACGATCTATTACTTGAAAGACAGGTTGTGCAAAAGTTTGTCTATTACAAGTATGATTTCGATAGTTGTTATATTTGAACCCATTTTTCCAGATTCAAACTCGTCTGACAAATATATTATTATATTGTATAAATATTTTTTGTCACGATATGGCTGAGATATTGCCGATGTGACGTTAAATATTAACTCACTATTACCAAAAATAAACTTAGCCAAAGTTAACAGGATAAATACAAGCCTTCCTCACACACACCTGGTAATCTGTTTAACCCCAAAAGACAGTCCTACAAAATAAAGCCTACTCTAAGCCTATAGCTTCCCCCAACCCGCTATTCATTTTCCTATCCTAGATTCTACATAACACATATACACAATAACTAAGGAAAGGAGGAAGACCTCCCGACTAACTTAACGGTCAGCATTGTCCTCCTGAGAGGGTACGTAAGTCCCAAAACTTTCAAAGTAAGATGTAAATTTACCACATTTTAATCGTAGTATTTTTGTTCTTTTAACTTCCGGCTAAATTTTCCTACAATCGCCAGCGGCTGAAGGGATGTTGTAAATCGCGCTAGGGTCCATGCAGGTAGCAAATGTAATGTAAGTCCCCATGGTCCCTATTATGGTGATCTACCTTCTGTTGCTGGCGATCTCTAGCCTGTTTTTCTTTTGTATTGTCCCAATTGTGCTATTAGTTTTAAACTTTCCACGCTAGTTTTAATTCTAATTGTGATATTCTAGTTGTTTTACTGTCCTTCGTCGACAGGTTTATATAATATACATATATTCCACTTCAAAATCAAATATGTTCTCGTCACGATATGGCTGCAATATTGCCGATGTGACGTTAGATAATAACTCACTCACTCACTTACTTAACGGTCAGGGTATCCTGAAGCAAGCGACCTCTGAGAGTGTTGCGGGCCCTTATATACCCCGTGCGCTAACCTTTAATCCTGGTCAAGTAGCTACCTTATCACCCGTCACCCATGGCAGCGCATGCCATGACCGTAAACCAACCGAAAGGGCAATTCCAACGGAATTTTACTGCCAAAACAAAGGTAAACAAGTGGAATTTTAAAAACTACAAGCAGAAATCACTTATGTAAGGTAATTTACACTTCAAACTTACCGCTAAGTTTACATTACGAACCTGACGCCCGATAACATGATAAATAACACTTCTAAAAAAACATTTCCCTACACATATACATAATATGCTTGCACATAATGAAAAAAACCTTTCTTATCAAATGGTTGAATGAACGTTGTATCAAAAAGTTATTCTGTTGAACACTTCTTCCTTCTTTTTCTTGTGCCACAAATTCACATTTGATGGGATATCTGGATGTTTCCCTTCATCGTTCAACTCATTAAGTCCAAACATGTGACTGGTCAGTTGAAGCAAGTATGATGTGCCAACGACATCTAATACGGTTTTGAAATTCCTGTGATTAAAGGCTTGTGAGTTCCTTTAAACCAGCAAAATAAAACACAAACCAATCTATAAAAATCAATTACATCTCGAATAAAAACAAGGTCAGTTGAACATGCATGACACATGTCGGCAGCATGAAAGTTCAATGTAGACTAGGCCTCTTGAGTGGTCGGTCTTGAAATGTCAATGTTAGCAGACAGATGAGCGTAAATCCAATGTTGTGTCATGCATCTCTTTATATACCTACTGCACAGTTTTGGAGTGTTCTGACAAAAGCTATGCCACACCACCTTCTCAGAGCTTCCAGAATCCCACCGAAGACACCGGAATAAAAAACAAAGGAAGGTAACTCCTCAGCTTACTTTTAACAAGTGAAGATAATAGCCTAAGTTCAATTGTGAGTTCAAATCCACATTCAGTGCTTTCAACTTTTGCGACCCATAATAAACAAAAGTTAATTAATGTGACATAATTAACACATCCTTATAACACATCCACAAACTGTTCATGTCCCTGGAAAGCATACGGTTTAGCGTTCATGTTCATGCATAATATGAAATGATAATTCAGCAAATTGATATTGTGGGTCCGAATACCGTGTTATCAATAACAGTTTTGTCTCACAGCTTTTTTTTTAAATATGGTCGTTGTTTTGCTACATTGCAAAATTATATGTAAGTAATCAAATATACCTTAAACCGCACCTTGATTTTGCCATTAACATTTGATCTTTGAGTGACTAATTTCAAATGTCCATGTGTGTCCTTGTCCATTCCCGTGACAAGCTTGAGAAACGCCCTTGCACAATTTCTGCAAGTAATTGCAAAGAAATTTCATAAACGTCATTGAAATGTTATAGAGTGATTCACACAAGGCACACTCATTTGGTATTGTTGACATTGTTTTAAAATGTTAATTTAGAAGCTATTTGCCTATGTCTATGTAGCAAGTACATTATAAGAATGTTCCAGGCTCAATTAAATTCACAAGTATTTGGATGTTTCATTGCACGGCATTCCCATTAACCCCCATAATATTTAGCTATTTAAGAATAACGGCTATGTATTTGTGGCAATGTTATCCCTACCTCAAGGAAATCTTGAAGGATGTGGAACATTTCCACAATGACTGGTTCGAGCTGATCAAATCTCGACTGCACAGTGTGTGTCTCTTCCTTCAAGGCTTTTACTCCCTGGAGTCTTACTCTTGACATCCGGTCGCCACCAAGAGGAACTCGTAGTCTTTCAAACTCTTAGCCTAAAATACATTAATAATGCTTAGATACATATCAAAGTAAAATCATGAAACACTTATTAACTATTATGTGTAAGCTTATGAAAATGAATTTGGTAATATTTAATATCTAATATAAAAAATGACAATGATTTACGTAATCCCACAAATCTGATTGTTCTACCTCTGACTGCTCTGGCATACCACTGATTGATGTGCGTGACATAGGCGTCCATTATGTAGATACAGTCAGAGTATGCTGCTTTTTTTTCAATATAAATGGCAACAGGAAAATCGATGACGCCTTTGATATCTCGACTTGTCTATCGTGTAGTACTTGGTGTTGAATGAGGCTTTTCATCCTGCTGAATGAACTTAAACTCTCTACCAATTTCCTTGCCAGCAAGATCTTCAAATTTTCCAAGTAGACAGGAAATCATCTGCACACTCTGATTTCATCTCTTTCTGAGGAGCTTTGTTTGATAATTCCAAAGCATCAATCCTGTCGGCAACAGAAGTCAGAAGGAAACAAATGGTAGTCTTTACTCTTGCTGGTCATTCGAACATCGTTCGTTGTTACTCCTGGATCTAGATTATCACCATCTGGCTTCCCAGAGTGAGTTCGCATCCCGGATGGGGCTCAACTCAAAAAGTACTAGAATTTGTACTTTACTAAGAAAGTGTAATCCCAAATATAACACATGTTACATTTGACCACTTTCTTAATGGCATTGTGTAATCATTCACTGAATTTAATTATCAGCATCAAGATGACCTGAAAAAAAATCTCTGTATGATGCTATCTTCACAGTGGGCTGAATAACTGTCCAGCAGCTGGTCCGTGGTCCTGTCGAACAGTGTCACATGGATTTTGTTTAGCACTGAGAGAAGGTGAAATATCATCGTACAAACTTTTAAATGACTAAACGATACTTTGAATTAAGACTGGCACTTCAAACAATACGTGTTCAACCTACATACATTCAAATCTATGCTAAACGTCAAAACATATGTGACACTTTATTTGCCCCATCATCTACGCAGAATATTAGCTCCATTCAGGTGTTCCAACTTTCAAATAGAAACAAGGCCACCAACAATATTCCGAGGAAAGAAAGAGATGCAAGAAAAATAACATTCATGTTATCGAAGACGAGCTCCATGTGCCATGAAAAGTGCCCATCACGTAGTGAACTGAGGAAGACATATCTAGAACCATTCTATTTACAAACCCAACAAGGAACATACCACAAGATCTGCTAGAATCAACTAGAAAATTGTGTGAAGTTACACGCCTTTTAACAAAAACAGTCATAATTAAAGCATGCTGCCCAAACTGATTAGAAAATTTCCTTTCTTCAGGATAGTGCGCAGGAGACTGACAGACACCATCCTGAAGTGGGGCGGGCGTTCCAGAAACTAAGCGTTGAATAGCTTCATGTTAAAAATCAACCTGAGTTTGTCTGAGTTCTTCTTCGGGACCAGAAAGATTGGTGAATAAAACCCGGGGTTGATTGGTGACAGACCTAGATTGTTGGTGGCTCGCAGCATATCGATGGTCGCTCTCAGGGTTTGTGCCTGAACTGGGGGATAAGTACGCTGAATAGGGTAAAGATTTAGAGACGGGCTGCCTATGATCGATAGCTGGTAACCAGGACTTACTATCCTTGTCACAAACAGGTCGTCCAGAATCGACCAACTGTTTAGACAACCATCTCATCCCATGACGAGATATTAAGTGGACCCCAGCGGCGGACAGTGAGTGTGTAGCCAAGGAAATGTGATATCTGATCAAGAATAGTCTGAAATTGCTCTAATATGAGAGATATACATTCGCGAATGTATGCATCTTGGTCACTGAAAGGGCACAGTTGATAGAAGGCAAAGTCCGATGAATGGCAGCATCCATATGGGCTAGTTCCCTATCTTCTACCATAAAGTTTATTCACTTAGTTGGGGTGTAATAATTGATGGGTCCAGTATATCAGATAGGGGGGTCCTAACCTGCTTACTATCCTTGTCACAAACAGGTCCTCCTGAAGAAGGTACCTAAGTCCCGATACTGATCAAGAATTCTCAAAGGAAATTTAAATTTACTAGTTTTTTAAACCGTAGTATCTTTGTGATTTTAAATCATGGCTAAATGTTCCTACAATCGCCAATGGCTGAAGGGATGGTGTTAATCCAGCTTGGGTCCATGCAGGTAGCAAAGGTACTGTAAGTCCCCATGGTCCCTAGTATGGTGATCTCCGTATAGGTTAGAAGACGAGGACGCGTTCTGTAACCATGGATTAAGGCGGTTAGAGCCTGAGAGGCAGAGAGGGCTCTAACCGCCTTAATCCATGGTTACAGAACGCGTCCTCGTCTTCTAACCTACTTAGAGCATGCACACAAATATTGCTTTTAATAAAATAAAAGAATAATATTTATATGGTACGCGTCTGTAATTTAATGAATGAACTATAGTTTTTTAAGCGCAGGCAAGGTTGTGGTACGGTCGAGTTATGTCATGAACGGCACATGTGATATATTCTGCATTCTACCTAAAGGCCCGTACAGTCGCTATCGTCGTTAAATCAACGCCAATATGTCTTTACCAGTTATCGAAGGTCGTCTTGAGAAAGCGGCCCGATGCTCTTTGATTAATCAGCTTCAGGGGTACATAGGATTTCATTCCGGGCCCCCATCAAGGATGGTTAATGAACCGAGGACGTAAAGCACGTGCTTTTCGGAAATCTCACCTTTACAAACACATGGTCTCAGCGCACATGTCTCTTCATTACGCAGCAGGTATGAGTGGGACCAACAGCGACGATACGTTGATTCCAGCTTCACAGTGTGAGTTTTTGACAATAAGTGAAAACTCTGAAGATGATGAAATTCTATGCACAGCACTGGAAACTGTGGAGGAAAGGGATCTTCTTCAGCAACATTACAGCGATATTAGTGACGTGGAGGAAGAAGTCCACGTGAGTGAGAATGTGTTTGGCGGCGGTAGTGGGAAGCACAGTGATCATGAAAGATTTTCTGAACCGTTGTTGGATTCTGAAATTGCAGGTTTATGCGAGACAAGTGTGCCTCAAAATACCGAACAGAATTTACGTTGGGCCTGTGGTCTTTTTGAAACTTGGAGAAATTCACGTAATCAGAGAATTTTACTAGGGGAAACATCCGGACAGCGTTTAAGTTTAATGGCTCATAAACTCAAGGATCTGAACGACGATGAACTTAATTACTCTGTGTCGTTTTGTATGAGAGGTGTGCAAAGCGATGGATCTGAATATAATCCAAAAACTCTCCGGCAGTTAGTGCTGTAATTGAACATGCATTTGACGAAGTGTGGTCGAGATTTGAAATTCCTGTCGGATAACGTTTTCCTCGAACTGCGAAATATATTGGACAGTGTAATAAAAGAAGGATCGAATGGAATTCGTACCAAAAAAGGCCAAGGTTATTTCCTATGAACAAAAGACAACTATGTGGGATATGGGCATCTTGGGAGTTTCGTAACCACAGGTTCTTTTGGATACAATGCTGTACCTCATTGGATTAAATTTTGCACTCAGAAGCGGCGATGAGCACAGGAATCTTACAGTTGACCAATTCGAAATTGACAAGGATGACACTGGAGAATTTCTTCTTTATTCTGAGAAGACTAGTAAGTGTTACCAGCGTGGACTTAAGGATTTTGGTGTTCCTCCAAAGTGTGTTCGTGCATACGCCAGTGACGATCGTAACAAGTGTGTAGTTGCGATATTCAGAAAGTACTGTAGTCTGCGTCCGACCAACTCCCGTGTCATGTATTTGCGACCACTGGTGAAGCCCAGAGATGATCAGTGGTACAGTCAGCAGGCTGTTGGAAAACACACTCTGCAGCAGACAGTTGGCAAGATGTGTAAACAAGCAGGCTTTGAAGGTAAGTTTTACCTTTTTAACTTTTCATTAAACTTGTGAATGTGGTGGTTTTGGGTTTCACAGTATGGCGTGACCATATTTCTGATTGAGGCTGCCCTTGTACTGTAAGCGTAATTTGACAAGGCTTCTGTATGACTGTTCAAAGGGGCGGTATTGAAAAGCGTTGAACATATAGCCATATTCCTTACTTTGTTAGACTAGCAATAATGTAAATTGTCTTTTTGCAGGTTTTTACAGCAATCACTCACTCAGAGCCACATGCGCCACTCGACTCTTTCAGTCAGGCATTGATGAACAACTAATCGCCAGAACAACGGGACATCGGAGTACCGCTGTGAGAGAGTACAAGCGAGTTAGTACAGCTCAGGAGAAAGAATCAGCAACGTGATCCAAGGTGGCGGTGAACTCCCTAAAAGACGATGAACTGCTGACTCCAGTGTCGACGTAGCTACCACTACCATGCCTGCAGTCTCGCAAATTGTGACGGACGATCGCGTCGCGATTTCAGTGTCTGTTGTCATTAAAAAGTAATAAAAAGTAATTATAGTCGAAATTGTTCTTTTTATTTGAGAAAGTAGTTCGGTCCGGGTTGTAACAGCCACATCGGATGGTTATAGTATGGTCGAAGACAAAGGAAGCATGCTCTAACTTCAGTTGTTTGGGATCTCTCGTCCATTTTTATTTTGTATTGTCCCTAATAGTCATATATTTTAAGTTAAATGCTAGTTTTAATACCTCAAATTGTGATATTCTAGATGTTTTACTGTCCCTTGTCGACAGATTTTTTATTATTTATTGTTATCATATTAACTGTTTTAGTCACAATATGGCTGAAATATTGCCAATGTGACTATAAATTTTAACTCACTCACTCGCTCCACCATGAAGAAAGAACTGTTACGTTTGCCACACAAGGTGGAAATGTTCTCATCCACAGGTGGAGCTGTGAAGATGGAGGTAAGACCATTCCTTTCAAAGGCATTTTAGAAGTTGTATAAATGAAGAAAAACCAAGTTTAATGGATAGTCAATCAACTTCTTTATTGCAATGAGGTAAGACTATGCCCATGTGAAGTAGCCGGTAGAAATCTTGGTGAAGAAAGACCATCCCTAGTCCGCTTTAGAGCTTTGAAGGCCCGGTCTAATGTAGTAGCCGTCTGAAGAATACATTGACGGGGAGAAGGGTAAGGGAAGTCAGATCACTGCCCCGAAGAAAGTAGGACTAATGAAGGACAATGAAGTTTCTCAGCAACCCATGCGAGAACAGGTTCTACCAGATCAAAACTGCCCTCGGGTGTGGAGACTTGAGAATGACCTGGAGAATGGTCATTAAAAAAACGCACCATGTGCTCAGCAGATCTAGCCGAAGAGGGAGTAGCCAGCAGTTGAGCTGAAGAAGACGGTTGGTAGTAACCGCCCTTAACATCATATCAAGATCTGGCGTGGGTTCAGTGTCCTGAGAGGGAGTCCAAGGCTCGGGTTTAATCTGAGATGACACTGAAGCCACCGGAGCAGAAGTAGATGGGCACTGCACAGGGGAAAGTTGATCTAATGAACCAAAGCGACGCCTCGTAGGAGATGGAGACCGGCCAAGACAGATGAATTGATGATCGGGAACCAGTCATAACAGTTGGGTCAGGATGCTCTGCAGAACCAGTCAGGTGAGGGGTGCGAGAATGAGAACGATACCTAGAATGCCTAGGTGACAATGTTCCATAAGACTCCAAACGGTCAGTTGAACTAAATTGTTGATATGAGGCGAATATCTAGACGAATTGCCTCAGTGCAAAATTCCAGTGGTGGTTCGAACCGCAGAAGCATCCAGTGAACCAGTTCGGAGATGCGGTTAGGTAATGATGGATGAACTAGTTCCAGGTAACTCGGTTGTATCCGTAGAACCTGTAGGTCACAGTGAATGCGATCGACCAGACGAACTAGAACGGTGCTGATGAATCAGTTCGAGTGGCTGTAGTTCAGTAAGAATAACCACAAACTGGACGGGTGATACCGAGGTGAACTGGTTCAAGATGACAAGTTAGTTTGGTGAAACTGTGGCGAACCGTTCAGTAATTCGGCTCAGAGGACCGAGATAGAACAGAACTGTCTGTTGAACCAGTTCGGTAATGTGGTTGAGAAGATCTTGGCGAAGTAGATCGATCTACTGAACTAGTTCGGCGAATGGGTTCTGGCAAACTAGTTCAGTGAAGTTGCGGCAAACTGGTTCAGCCTGGCCAGGTGAACTAGTTTGTGTAAGGTGTGGTGAACTGGGTCGGCCTGGCCTGGTGAACTAGTTTGTGTAAGGTGTGGTGAACTGGTTCGGCCTGGCCTGGTGAACTAGTTTGTGTAAGGTGTGGTGAACTGGTTCGGCCTGGCCTGGTGAAATAGTTTGTGTAAGGTGTGGTGAACTGGTTCGGCCTGGCCTGGTGAACTAGTTTGTGTAAGGTGTGGTGAACTGGTTCGACCTGGCCTGGTGAACTAGTTTGTGTAAGGTGTGGTGAACTGGTTCGGCCTGGCCTGGTGAACTAGTTTGTGTAAGGTGTGGTGAAATGGGTCGGCCTGACGAAGTAGTTAGGGGATGGTGTGGTTGACTGGTTCGGCCTGACGAACTTGTTCGATGATAAGGTTCAAATTGGTCTGCCAAACTAGTTCAGCGAAGGTTTGGCAACTTGGTTCAGTCTGATGAACTCATCCGGGGATGGTTTGGGGAACTGGTTCGGCTTGACGAACTAGTTCGATGATGGTGTAGTGAACTGGTTTGATCCTGACGAACTAGTTTGACGAAGAGAGCCATTCCGTGCTGAAGAATTGTCGTGGCAAACCAGTTCAGCGATTATACTCAGATAAGTTAGGCGAGCCATTGCAGGAAACAGGACGATCTGACGAACGGTTCAACGAGATGAATGAGTTTGGCTGGTACGCAGCAGTTCAGCTTGATCTGACGAACTATCGTGATGAGAACGATCAGACGTTTGACGAATGAGAGGCTATGAGAGGATCGATTTGGCGATCTAGACTGTCCAGATGCTCCCTGGCAAGCAGCAACTGTCAACTGTGTCCTACTCGTAAAGGGGGTAACGGGCAAGCTACACATGCCCAGGTTCCTAATCTCCCGACGGCTGGGATGAAGGAGGAGATCGGGAGGAAGATAAAGTCATCCGAAGGTCCTGAGGGGCTTCAGCAGTCACAGGGATGGACGTTTGTTCAATCTCTACCCTAGAAGCTCTCGTCTTAATGGGAGGCGAGTGAGTACCCAACAATTTCCCCAAATAGACTAGTCTAATTTCTCAGAAATGTGAATGCATGAGGCATTTTTGAGTAAACGCAAGCAAACATTTTCTAGGGTAGTTTTTCGTGCTGAATACGAATCTGTTGTTTGCCTAATTAGGTCACAAATTGGAGTCAAAGGTCAATGAATGCAAAATTCTTTTTTTTTAGAAGTGTTTTATGTATCATTCTCAATCCATACAATGAACTCATTTTACAATATGTTGATTAATAATGTTACCACAGGATTTCAAAATGTTGGATTTCATGGAAGTGCTGAAGGAAAAATTCGTATTAAGGCAAATATCTCCCTTACGGAACGACTTTTTGTTTCTGCGTGAAGAGCTACTTTTTACAAGCATTTTTGCTCAAAAATGCAAAGCAAGGCTAAATCTTTTCCTTTTGTTGACAGAATTATATTCCAGGCAAACTGTTTAGATCACAAAATTTGCATTTAAAGCGCATAATTACTTCAAAGGTTAATGAGTGTGACAGGATGGGATAGGCGTTTTTACATGTATGCCACACGAATGCTTTTATACTGCCTCACCTGCATGGCAAATGAAACTGCTTTCATTCATGCAGTGAGTTTGATTAATGATTTTAGCAACATAATTACCCACAGAACAGTTCAGGAAATCACAGGAACAGGTGGGAAGCCTATCCAATAATGTGTCAAATACGTAGTATGAAGAAAACTGGAAAATAAATGCATACAAGCCATGTGCTATGACTGAAGGATCGAGCTTGTACTAAACTTGAGCTTAGCAGACAACAGATTCGTATTCAGCACGAAAAACTACCCTAGAAAATGTTGTTTGCTTGTTTTTACTCAAAAATGCCTCATGCATCCTTAAAATCCACATTTCTTAGAAATTTGACTAGACTAAAATACTCCGAGAGTCCGACAAAGCGCCCACAAAATCCTCCCCTCCCTAGGGAGGAGATTTCGACCACTTTGCAACCAAAGTAGGACGATGTAGGCGAGGTTTCTTAGCCAAAGGACCCATTTCTGACGAGAATGAGAATGATGTGAGAGCAGAGGTCACGTGGGTTGCTGGGGAGCATGCTGCATGCTTCGTATGGAATGTGGTAAGTGATGCATAGCGAGAGTAGCATGGAATGAATACACGGGCGATGGGAAAGGCGATGGGAAAGAGAGGCAAAGGGAAAAGTTTATAGTCGTTCCACTATGGGTCGAGGCAAGAGAGAGAGATGCAAACCCTGAGATAAAATAAGTTTTAAAATTTGATGTCATATCACTATTTCATAATGTATTCTTTAATTTTCAAAATTAAAAATGTTTCTTTTAGATTAGGTTAGATTAGGAAATCAAACACGTAAAACACGTTGTAAATGTCAAGTTGAATGAATCCTAAATATTAACACGTTAGGATCTTTTTAGATTAAATCTAAAAGTAAAAAATATAATAACATGCATTTCAAATGTATCAATTGTTTCAAAAAGATAAACAAGCTCCTTTAACATGCCTCAAAGGTCTTGTACATATAACCAAGTCAAACTTCATTAAAAGGTTACCGTACCATATTATCTGCATGATATCTGATGGCTATGGTCGGAAACAGTCTCAGAATAGATAACACTTCATTTAGGAGATAAACATCATGTGTTGGCCGATTTCTGGGTGTTATTCAGTATTTTAAGCACAGGAATTCATTAAGAACCGACGGCGTTAGCCGGAGGTTTCAAATGAAATATTCCCGTGCTTCAACATTGAAGCACAAAAGTAAACCATGGGTTTTACTGTCTGCACTCATTGACATTGAGTACGGGTACAGCAGTGAAGTGTCATGAGCTGGCCGCTCAGCTGGTTCCCATAATAGCATCTGGAACTGCTCATTTGTGACGTCATTCCGACTTTACGTCACAATATGATTTGAATGACGTCACCTCTGCTGACGACGCAACAATACAATTGCGATCGTATTGACACGCGGTATTTGTACGTGTCAATACGCAGTGAATAGTCTTGCAATTTCCTGGAATCGAATAGCATTCGATCATGTTTTTCAACCAAACAGATTAAAGAACACGGTGACTTTTGGTTTACATTGTTATTTGAGTGCAGTATCATACCATAGATGGTAGCAATGGCAGAAATCT